CACGCATTAAAAATATGTTGTTGTTTTTTTTGTTTTGTTTTTTCTTTAAATAAGGCCATTTATCGCAAATAGCATGGAAATTATTACTTTTATCTTCAGTTTTTTAACCTTTCAAAAAACCTCAAAACATTTTTCTCAAATTTGTGTTTTTTGTAATATTTTGTCTCATCTGCAGCTTTAAGCAACAACTTAATCAATAATGTCTGAAGATAAAATTAAGCAATTGGTATTCACTCCATTTTCGTGGAGACAAATTAGAAAGCCAACATATCCAAAGACTGATTAAACAATATAAAATAAAATACCAGAACCACCTAACAAGTAAAAGATTAAATTAATAAAGCTAAACATATCACAAGATACAACAATATTGTCGTGTTGAATGGGCTTCTAAGATTGGAAATATTAAACAGCTCTGACAACAACATCTTTATTTCAAAACGCATGCTGCATAAGCTGATCAAATTTTATGAAAAGTATCAAGTCAGCATCTTTTATAAACGGATATCAACCTGTAAGAATATTAATAGCAGTAAAGAATTCTTGTCAGGACACTATCTACAGAAATATAAAAATGCTATTGTTGTATACAGAATGTTTTCATTGTATGATCTTTAGAACAAAATAGAGATAAGAAAATTGGCCCAATGGGGCTGCTTATAATAATTATAACTGCCTTTGCCCATATGCTATTTTTGCTGGTTGAAATAAATTAAGTACACGCTGAATTCGGTAAGGTAATTTATGCTTTTGTACTTCTAATGTGGTATTACATAACAGTAAAAGCGGATGTGTATGCTAAAAGTACACATTAGCGTCTTAAAAAATCTCCTCTTAGTTTAAGTACTGATAGTTGTACGAAAAAAGATACACAATTTTTAATTTATATCGTTAATTAGCGTAATGTTCGCCTTTAAACATATAAGAGCTCATAAACATTGAAAATGTCTTTCGTCGCTGTCATCTATTGAATACAGCATTGCTCAATACATTTGCCCGCCAGACTTTTGGGAGTTCCTTTGCTTTATTCTTCTGGTATTTTGTTTCAGATATATAATCAGAGTTTTTGTTTAAACTTTTCAAATGGTGTTTTTGCATATTTTATATCTTAGATGAATAACCTATTGCTGTTATGCAAAAGAAATTTTTCAAAACTGAAATGAAATTACAATTAATGCGCTTATGTTGAACGGTGTTTGTTGTTGCAGAACATGGCATCTGAGTTGTGTTAAACTGTAAATTAATCAATTGAGAACTTAATACAGTACCTATTATACACTAGTTATTTATGCATTATAGAACTGTATAAAACTGTCTTCTTAAAGACATTCTAGAGAACAATGTTTTGAAATAAATTAAAATGAATTGACAAAAACGTAACACAAAACATGAATTTTGCTTTGGGTTACGTGTTTGTTATTATCTCTCAGGAATAAGATAAGTTTGAGGTAATCAATGATATAATCATGAGATAAATGATAATAATTTCATGACATAAATGTTAACAATTTCATGCAATAGCTTTATTTTCATTGAATTAAGAACCAATCATTTCCCCAAGTTGATTGAAGAAAGAAATATAATCTAGCAAGAGTTCATCTTGAACTTGGACATTTTGTCATGTTAAATATTCTGATATTTCAAAATAAGATTCTACTCTTTGAATGATAAAAGAGAAGGGTTTGAAGAGATTTTCTTTCTCCAGTTATTTGCATGTATATCCTGAATACGACATTTAAGTAATCCTATATAAATATCTACTAAAGAAGGGGATTGTATTACAACAATAAATCATTGTGTTATACATCTCTTATTTTTGAAGACAAATTCAATCTTGTTATACTCGGCACCATCCTTTATTTTTCTTTTAATGATATTTGATAAAATAAAATTATAGATGTTATCATAATGAATTAATAAAACTGCATTACAATCCTATCTTTTCTAACTATATATAGATCTGGTCTACCCAAATCATCATATACTGTTGATACTGAAACCTTTATCAATCATTCCTTGTATTGTCTATGTACTCTTACTGTATTTCTGCTTTACTGGCATCTGTCTTACAATAAAACGATAAGAGACCATGAAGTGTCCACTTTATAAATTGTTTTCCTGCATGATGTATCTATATTGTCTCCTGAAAACTAGTGTTGTTCGCTGGATTTGGTGGGTGGAGAGGATTCTAGATTTCAATCAATTTCTCCAATAAAATGTTTTATCCAATGATGACCATTATATATCTTTAAGACAAATATTTTATTTGCAAAACCAAATAAATGGGCATTGTAGATATGACATATTTGCAATGCATATGCAAATTAAAGTAGGTATATAGTTTACAGCAATATTGCAAAGGGTATTAAAATGACAATATGGTTGAGTCAAACAAGTGTATAACAGTGAATATATCACCTACATATTAATAGTAAACTGTTTGAATTTCTACATGTAGCACAATAAATAAAATTTTGATTAATTAACAATTCCATTTTTTGCATCATTGATATAAATTTATTAATGGTGGGTTAAACACAATAATGCATGTCGAGTTCAGTATAGAGATGAAAATTAATGAAATTTCTTTTGATTCATGTTGTTCGTGTGATCTTCTTCAACTTCTATAAATATTCTTATATCATACCTGTTCATTGAACGTTATATATGATATATATGATGAACAACTAGATAAAGCTATAAGAATCATACAAGTATGTGTATAACATTGTCATTTACCCTTAGCAATGTTATTTATCTTGATATTGGTTTAAATAATATTTATTTTCCAAATAGATTTACACACATGTTATACAATTATACACAATCGAGTAATAATAAATAGAAATATAATAGAAACAATCATTGTGTAAGTATAGCATACAGAATAGAGGATAAAGCTTTGTAGCTTATACTAAGCCTCGCTTATGTCTATCATAAGAATCTGCACTGACGATGTAACTTCATTTGAAACATTTATGAACCGGAACAAAATAAATAAACGAAAAGGTAGACCTGGTTTTAAATAAAAAGAAAAACAGATTTTTATACAAGATATCTTTATCTTGATATTCAAGGTGAATAGGAACAAACATTAAAGTAAATAAATTGTGATAACTAGTAAATTTTTGTATCTAATAATCAAAAGTTGAATAAACAGAAAAAAAAAAGTATTCTGTTAAAATTTCAAGTTTTAAAGTTTTCTTAAATTCACAAACATAAACACTAATTAAGGGAAGAGGAAAACTCGGAATATTAGTAATTACGCCAACATAAAGATTAAAGGGTACTTATAAATAAATGTTCTTCCCGTTTCATTTTTTAGTAATTTACATGTTTGCAACCAATGGAATATTTGCGACAGTACATCACGATTAGAAAATAATAGAATATAAAGCAAACTGATTAAACATTTAATGTAATAACGTTCGAATTTTCCAAATGATTTTGTTTAATTAATATAACAGCTGAAAGTTATGTTTATATTGGTATTATGTATTTACTTTTTAAGAAGTCTTGGCATTAATACTCCATATTATGCATACTTCCTATACAGTGTTTAAAATTCTTCCGAAATATTTATTACTCTTATAATTGAAGCAGAAACATAAGTGTATACAATGCTGCATTGTCCAGCTTTGTTTTGCTTATTTTTTAAATGTCCTTGGTTTCATTTCAGAGCTTGTTAGGTTAATGCTGGAAGCTAAATGATTTTTACAAATGTGTATAGCCTACATAAGGTTTATATACAAACATGCAATATGCCTTACTAAGGTTAATTATACTTCACTCATAATGGCTAATGTATTGAAGAGACCATGAACGTTTTGTCGTCTTTAATGATTTTTATACTTATATTTGTAAGACTGCAGTGTGAATGTATTTTTTTCTATTGTTTTTGACACTTGCAATCATGTTACGAAGTACAGTAGGACAATGCACGTAATCATTCTGCAAAACTAAAGCTTTCTCATTGCTTTATAATCAGCAATCTAATGAATAATTAAATAGAGTTAACAATAAATGGAACCTATGCACGTTATTATAAAGAAAAAATAATGTTCACCTTAAAGGGTATAATAGTCATTTACGTGCAATATATTTTAAGAAATGTCTTTTGTCGATGTCATTTGTAGAATTAAATATTGCTGTTGGTGCATTAGCTCGTTAGCCTTTTGGGATTTTAAATTCACGTTTCTTCAAATATCTTATAGCAGATTTATACGTTGCTTTTAAAAATTTTCGAGTTGTATAATGTAAATATGTCAAAATGCGAAGGCATGTAATTTTATACTACATTGCCTGGTTTAAATATGTAACGAAATGGCTTATTGCTTAATAGAATGAATATATAAGGTTTGTTAAAATGTAATTTTGGACCATGGGCCAAATGCACAATATATACAATATAAAATGTGCGTCAGGTTGTGTCACAAAGAATATTGCAGAATACAACAGCAAACCAGTATACATTGTACACCAAAAGAGAATAATATACATTACATAACATATAATGTGCAGCACGTAGTGTCAAGTTCAGAGAAATATACTGTTCAATATACATGTACATAATATATTCATATACCTAAAGAAAAATATAATTCAAATACACGTATTTAGTTAACGAAAGTATTTTATACTAATAATATGTATGTTAATCTTAGCATATCAGTGCATTAAGATTCATTTTTAAAAATGATAAGGATTTGTTAAACCAAAATCACAGTAAAGAAAGTTGAATATGTTGTTTATCTTTCGGTGTTTGACGTAAAGATTAAAGATGATTTGATTTGTGTCTGCATTTCAATCAAAATAAGCATCTTAAAGGACTTTGTCAGTATAATCATAGTGGATTTTGCCTGCATACAATGTGTGTTGTTTAACCATTTAGAAATGAATCGAGGATTGTTTTACAGTTATAATAATCGCGATCTGTGGAAACCATATTCACGTCGTATGTTAGTTATTAGAAGTCACTGTATTAAATATTTTCATTTTCTATTTCAGTTGAAACAAAGGATTACGATGCCAGCAGATATGACGCAGTTTGTAAGTATTTGTTTTGTATGTGCATGTATTTATCACTGTATGTTAAAGATTTGTTTTTACAAGAAAAATGTCAAATTGGCGTTACCTAAATCGTTTCTTTTTAGAATATACAAAAGTTTATAACTATTCATCAAATGTCCTTTGGTTATTTACTAAATTATATGGTATATGCTTAAATGAATTATAAATCAAGTTATGTCGTGTTTTAAGTGATTTTCTATCCAACCAGCTACTACTTAAATGAATCATCTTGAGGTGGCGGCGTTGCCGAGGGGTTAACGCGTCGGACTAGTAATTTAAGGATTGCAGACCGCGTGGGTTCAAAAATCGGTGTTTCCTTGAGCAAGAAACTTTACATTCATTGCTTAGTACTGGTTAGTTCCAGGAACGGATTCAAGAGTGCTTCAATAAACTTATAGATTCCAATACAATCGAACTAAAATAAATTTGTATGAACTAAATGGGTCATTTAGTGGAGTTGTTTGACCCTGCTGGTTACATGCACCCGTCTATCAGATTATATGACTGTCTTGTATATTTGACTGCAGGAGTATCTGAAACCATGATATTGCAAGGGTTTAACAAGAATACAATAAACACGTAGATAAAAGCATCATTTTGACCTAACTGTAATATGACCTTGATTCCTTTATTTCATTTACCTTCAAAGTCAAATTTCATAAAAACTCAAGATAAATTTGTTCATGAAATAATCAGATTGGGGACAGGGTATTGTGTAACACAATTTGTAGCAACGGCAAAAACAATTTTAATGAGTTTTTTTTGTTTGTTTGTTGTTTTTATTTGTTTTGTTTTTCGTTTTGTTTTTAATGTATAAAATGTTTGAAGTAATGCATTAAGAATTTTAGGGACTTGGGAACAGGTATATACATGTGTATGTCATTTATATCTCATTTTCACAAAATATATACTTCCATTCACTTTGTTGCAAAGTTCTCAAGCAGAGAAATATTATAAAAGAAAACAAAAGTATTATTTCTCATCATTGTATATCAAATTTTGCCCCGAGAAATACGATGGTTACAAATCAATGATATAGAAATGTGTCTTGTATATTCTTGCTATATTTTGATATCATTGTTTAGGAATCAATGAAAATATAGGTAAAAAATATGACTTTTTAAAGAAGTATGTTCGAAGAAGTTTATTGCGGAGATTCCAGGTCAACAAATTGTAAAGCAACAAAATATCTATGTGCTCTATGAAAGCTTTTTTTATTTTGATTTTCTGCTAAATGTAATCATGTTTTTTTGTTATTTGTTTCACATATGACTTTTGTCGGAAGCAAAACTGAAGAAGTAAAAGATATATCAACTGGAATTTTCATAGATTAATATATCTCAGTAGAGAATATTACATTAGCCAAGAACAATATGAGTCAATAATATTAGAGAAATTGCTCTTTATATAAAAGAAAATTCTGGAGCATATCTTCAAGGCATTTGAATTTATGCTTTTACATTCGGTAATGCAAGATTTCCGTGTTCCATCTTAAATCAAATTACATATATTTGATATAGATAAGAAGTTATTTTAGTGAAATTGCACATTGTAAAATTCTGTCTGAGACAATAATCACGATATTTGAATTAATGCGTTACATCTTAGGACCATAATAATGAGGATTTCACATGGCATAACATACATAATTTACTCGTATATGTAAAACGTAGGAATATGTTGGTAGGAGTTGGAAATATTAATTTACATAATTATGTAGCTTGAACAAATCTTTCTCGTGTCTTACCTGATTGCAGTGGACGGTACTCAGGGATTATTCTTTACCCATTTATGCATGTAAGGGTGCGTTCCGGTTACAGCAGCCCGCTTTTATTAAGATTTCTCTTTTGTTAATTAAGATTTGTACTTCAATATTACTTGAATTTTATTATAGCGCTTCTAACATGCTACCTATGTATTATATCCCGATAAAGTATTCTTATCAAACAGTTCTTTAACAATATTTCAACGAACATATTTCATCAGATTATTGTCTTTAAAAGGCGGGGATATAAATAGATAGTTTCGGAGCATTGGTACTTATTTTGATGTTGTCATTAATATGGCCAAGGAAAACTCTTTCAAATGTAAACGTGTTTTCAATAATCTATTATCTTCTATGTATAAATGTGGCCAATAACTATATTCGGTGTGTTTCAAATTGTTTGATAGTAAGGTGTTACCGGTTCCTAAAATGTGCGTGCAAATATCATTAAGAAGAACTTATGTTTGAACATTTTTATAACTTTGTATTAACAATAAAGTTATTGTTGTTTCTCTTGGTTTAAACATATTTATTTAAGCTCGATTGCGAAACAAGTTCTTGTGACTTACATTAATCACTTTCGAGTCCGCTTCCTGGACCCTACCAGTATTAGTGTCATATGAAGATACACACATGGTCTTGACTCGATCAGAGCTCGAACCCGTGATCCTAGGGTTGAGAGGCAGTCACCTTAACCAATAGGCCACCGCTCCCTTTTTTTCTCTTTCGTACAAACCAATTCTTTAGTCATGTATTAGAGTGCATTTATGTGATGAGGTTGGGAATATATCACAAAATTAATGGTTTGAGTTGGGTTATGGAATGTTATTTTTGAAACTTTCTTATATTTTAAAACTTAGACTGTTGTTACATGCCCTATGTTTTATTTTCTCCTTGTAGTAAATGATGGTTATCTTACACTTTTCTGATATTTTTATAACAGGGACACAGTTATTCTATACAAATACAATCAAGCGAATTATCATCGGCTTCAATAACAAAACAGTATCCTCTTTCTATTTATGTTTTACTGACATCTGTAACTTTTAAACGTACAGTAAACTAAGTATTTGTTATTGTTCAAAAACGTAAAAATGTTCTGATTTAAAAAGTTTTTTTATTCCGTTAAAAAGTCGTGATTTCTTAGTAAGTTCATATACTTTATAATACATGTATATAGTAATACCAAGGCAATATAAGTGCTGTACAACATACGTGCCTAAAACACTTCATGACCATAACTTATCTGCCTTATAAGTCGTGTTCCTGGGATATTAGTTATATGATTATATGATATGTCTACTTATCTCATTCCATATACACATGTAATTTATCTTTCCTGGAAGAAAGTAGTATTTGTTAACTAGGTCATAAACAATTTAATGATTACATACATGAAATACAATACAAAACACATCTACAATCTTAAAAACATGCCAAGGAAATAATAGAAAACAAAGGAGTTGCTTCAGTGCTTAAAAAACAAACTAAACGATCTTTAAGCCCTATCAAATCAGTAAAGTATTTGTACTTTCATACAGTTATAAAATACAAAGAAGTAACGAATATATGTTTTTTAGAAATAACTGTAAAGTGCATTAAGGAAACAAGCACCTGTCACATTAGATGTAATTGATCTGAAGAGGTAACCTTTTGATCTGACAATTTTCTATTTTCATTCGTTATGTTGTACAGATGCTCTTTCAAAGTATGAGACGTCTATTACTTTAAAATGTCGCGTTCAAGCTGGTTTGAAATAGAAAAAAATATATATGTATTTTTTAAATTTTAAAATATTTTTTTTATTTCTGTATGAGGTCGAAATTATTCAAATAGTTAATTGTGTAGTATATAGATTATTTATAATAATTCACGTGTAAGCAAAAAAAATATAATACAAGTAGCTTGATGTATGATAAAGCTACGGTATCAAAAAAGTACAGTTTGATGTATATTTAACCCATTACTACATGAACATTTTGTGAAAAATGCCTGTTTCATTAAAAGGCCTCCTGTTACAAGTTCAATTTGCCATGAAACTATAAAAAGGCTTCAATACTGATCAAACTTGGCACAAATCTTGATTTGACCATGGCCTTTGTAACGGCATACTCAATTTTCAATTTCCTGTATCATGCCAAAGTGGAGACATTTCAAAATTGCCAAAAGTCACTATTTTGCGTTGATTTTTTCAATCATAACTGATTTCAAAGTGCTGCAACTTCTCAATGGATTGAGATAGAGTCAAAGACTTTTCAGCGTTGGTTACGTGTTACCTTAAGGTTGACCCATAAACCTTTCACAACTCCAAAATGTTCTTGGATATGAGAAGTCTGCTGTCTCCCTCCATACTTTCAAGCAGAAAGCTATCATAACGTAAAGAAGATCAGAGCTCGAATAAAGTCATATTTATATTTTACGCATCATTATTCCATGTTGGCTATTTTATCTGTTTGACATTTTATATTGAAGACACTGCGAATGATATATACATATAAAGGCAATGACAATATCCGTAGGTGAAATAAGAGACAAACATGAAAAATAAATCGACTTTCTCGAATTCATAAGTAAAAAGAAATTAAGTATTTCACATGATTTCACTTGTACATTCGTACAAGTAACAGAGACAAGTATTGTTCTATTTTAATTGATTGTTTTGTTGTTATTATTATTATGTTTATAATTTTTATTTATTTTTTTTTAATTAATTAATTAATTAATTAATTAATTATCACCATTTATAACACCTTTATTGAACTATCTATGCCCAAGATATTGTTTGCATAACATAATCGATTCCAGCATTTATCATAATACTTTAACAAGCGTTTAATTGCACTTATCTTGAATAATGTAATCTTTAATTTTATATGATAAATCTTTTTACAGAACGAAAAGATAATGGTTTATTTAAATGTAAGCCTATTGAAGGCAAATTAACAAGATGGGTATATTTTAGATCTTATAAGATGACATACATAATAATTATACAAAAATATTATTTCGGGGCTAAACTAAGAACTCCAAGATTATAAAAAAGGAAATGTAGTTTTATACACTTTTTTTTTTCTTAACCTTAAATACAAGATAGGAAAATATCGCAAACTGAAACGATCGATAATTCATTCAGCTTTACATTGTGTATATTTCGTTAATGACGGACAAAAACTCATGGCCATTGAACAGGTCTACCATCATTGCTTCGAACCAAAAACGGACGCTGCAGGGAGAGGCTGGGGTTCACACCAAATCCTGTTTCAATAAAAACTATTAACAATTTGATCAGCAAAATTGTCGTCATATTAGGTTGAAGTCTACCTTGATATAATCCGAGACAGGGAACATCGATAATAACACAATATACATTCATAATTTCTTTGAATTTTGAAATTTCACACAAGTTAATCTGTGAACTTTAAACAGCATATAAACAAGTACATAGATATTTATTATAATCAAACAAAAGACGCTCAACGCGCATTTTACTGGGTTATTTAAAAAAAACATCCCTTAATTAAGAACGCGCATAACGGCAGACTTGAATGTGCTGCAGACGCGGTCTCTCCGAGGGTAGTGGAAATTACAAGATGCCGTCCTCGTCCCCTCCCCATCTCCCTCCCACAACACCGACTTTAGCAGAATTCAACATTCAAATACGAAAATGGCGAAATTTTGAATTCAGAAACATCCACAAATATTTTTATGTATGCCTGTCCAAAAAAAAAACAAACAAATGAACATAATGCAGTTACTTACTTTAAGAAATATTAACAGTCTTTTTATTGCGTATAAGTAGTTTTATGGTGTCAATATCGATTTCTTTCAGAACTTTTTTTTATTTTTACGCTAATTAGAGACGGGAAAATGCGGGAGGATTTGTTTTCCTTAATCGACTATAAGTATGATGGTTTATAATAACATATCAGGTATACAAGTCAGCCGTTGATGTTAAACTAAACTAAAGACGTAATTTAGATGACAGTGACATGCAAAAAGGTATCGTAAATTCTAACAATATGCGTGCTTTCCATTATTTTTATGACACAAGTAAGCGTATATTATAGTCCTTATTGGGAAAATGCAAATACATAAACCTTAGAAAGGCAGAGGATAACGGTAAAGGGATAACGTGGCCTTATAATTATATGGCGAGTTATCAGCTCGTTTTCATTCATTTATCACCTGAGGCAATAAGGCACAAATTGTGTGTGTTCTAGTGAAACAAGTGTCAACACTTACATACCTTTCCAGAGTCTCTGATTTAAAAGCTTTAAAAGCATTCTCCCCAGGATGTCATTTCACATATATGTTTTATAGGGAGATACTGTTATTTCGTTGGAAGCATACTGAAAGTAAATATCGATTCTTTTCTTCGGATTACAGAACAATAAATGTGCGACGATGTATTTTAGCTAACTTAAAGGCAAAATGTTGTTCTCAATTTAAAAATCAATGGAATATTAAGTAAAGTAAAATCAATTTATGAGATTATTTTTCACGTCCAAATATGCAATAAATGAAAAGGTAAGCTAGTTAAAATAATTGTACTTAAAAGTGAGCTATGCAAACTATTTTTTACGCAACAATCATGATTATGTAAATGTTATATTGTTTTAACTTTTAAATTACGATTAAAATTAATCGTGTTGAGATTGGTGCTAGGAGGCGGGGACTGTAACTTGCACTTTCCGTGAACAGACTCAATCAAATAGAGAAAATAGATAATCCCTAAAGAAAGTCAAACACGGCAAAATTGTAAATGTTGCAGACTCGGTTTGAGCCTGTTCATGGACGGTACTGGAAAGTGCAATTTACCACCCACGACCCCTAGCACTTGCTTAAGCAGAATTCAACAATTAACACGAACTGGTAAAATTTTGAAACATCCACTGTTGTGTTCGTAAGCTGGTGTGACAGATGAACTGGACGGAAGTTAACAATTACCAATACCGTCCTTGCATATTTACAATTTTGTCGTTTTGGACATACTTTTGGGATTCCGTTTTTCGCAAGCAGAAGGGGCAACAGGCTTGAAAATTTAATACCGCTCTCTGCAATTTTCAATTAATTTTGTTGTGATTAACGCTTTCGAGGGATCACACATTTACCAGATTTTTGTATTCTCATTTCCTTGTACATAAGCAGACCGTCTTTCTCAACAGGATAAACTAAACCGGGACTACAACAATCATTTTGGCTTGTTGTGCTACCTTTTGGATACTTAAGTTAATATTTCCATATCAAAAGTAGATAAAATGGAAAGGTAGAGTTGTGCCGGCGCCATTTTAATAAACGGACTAAACAATGGGTGATTAAATATTTGAAACACTTAAACAAATCATAATAATACATATTTGTTTTGTACTATAGTCATATCAAGTTCAAGCTAAAACTAAACCTCTAGTGATATGACTGTCATAGGTGATAGTTGCCGTGGATGGTCGTAGCTTGCAGTTTTCACTACATTCAATTAACCCATTTACGTTATATACACGCCTGTTTTTGTTTGAGAAATGTTGTTAAAAAAAGTGACCTCTTTTTCGGCGCCCCCCCCCAACCAAAAGATACATCAGGGGGTTGCCAGAAAGGGGATGTGCCCCCTTCTGTTTGGGGGGTTTGAAGGGGGGCGGAGTCCCCGTCATCGCCAAGAAAATTAAATTTTGGACTTGTGAGAGGCTATAAATGACCCCAGATTGATCATAAGGTAACGTGTAGGCAACGCATTTGACTCGCTTAAATGGAGCGACACAGGGAGGGATAAATAAGTTTATCCAGACAGTTTAAATATTTGGTTAAAATAAATTCTATTGAGGACATTTCAAGCGAAATAAACTGTCAAAATTTTTCAAAATAGAATACTGCAGTAGACAACTTATGGAGGTGCTAGAGAGCGTGGGGAATGGTGCACCTCATGTACAGACTCAATCAAACCGAGTCTACAATTTTCTTGTAATTTTTTTCGCCCTTTTTCCAGAGTTTTGTAATGCATGTAATGAATTGTTACTTACTGTGTTTTTACACATAAGCGAAGAATACATGAAGAAGGAAATATGTCTAAGGGTTATACGGTCTGTATTCTCCTGCGCAACGGTCCAATGTTTCACAATTGTTCTTGTGAAGTACCGTTAGTGTATTTACTGAGTACACGGTCTGGTGTCCGATGAATCTAACAGTCACAAGGGAAAATGACATTCACTTTGTTTCACCTACATCAAAATTATAACATAAGATTTTTCAAATTTTATATCGTCTTGATTTCCCAAAGGAAAAAAGAATTAATGAGTTTTTAGAATCAATAATTTACTATCCTTTTATGTTATTTTTGTTTTGTTTTGTTTGTGTTCATCTTTTATAAAATAGAGAAAACGTGCAGTATAAGTAACAAATTAGGTATTACAAGCTGCCTTACCGATGCTTTGATTGTTTGATGCTGTGTGGAGGTGTTAAGTTAATTTTGCATTTCCTTATTCTGTTCTTTCATATATTTGTCTACTTTCAGGATGTTGATCAACAGAAGAGATTAAATATGGCAAATTATTCAAACATTCGGAATTAAGATAAAATGACGTTGCTAAATTCAAAGAAATTATCGCTTTGAAATATATATCACTATTTTCTACACGCCAGACAACGAGACATTCTTACATTAATGTAAATTCTCAGAAAAGACAACATATGCCTGAAAAGGGCATTGATTCCACGATAAATAGGAATAATACGACAAAGGTGATAATTAATGAGTAGTTTTTTAATAGGAAATACCTCAAGAGGAATTACTCTAAATGTAGTATGGCTGATTTAAATTATCACGATGAGTACAGTCCAAGGCGAGCGTTCCTTTTAAAAGAGGGAGTAAAGAAAAACAAAAAAGTCTTTGATAAAGGTATTGGAGCAAACCCGGGCAATGGATGTGCTGTTCAAATGGTTGATCTCCCGGATGACGAAAATGTTTTTTCATCTAATTCTCCGGAAACGAAAGGGACTGAGACAGGGACTAATAATGTGCCCCATCTTATTTATGGAAATTATCATCGACACACACAAATCCCGATTCAGGTCAAAATATATAATTTTCTAGAAAGACCGACCGGATGGAAGTGTTTTGCCTATCATTTCACAGTGTATGTATAATTTCATTATATTTTAATTACATAGTATACAACGATTTAAACAAAATATTTTCATACGTTTCTTTAAAGTTTAACCTTCGTAACCTTCAAGTCGAATTTATGATAGCATCGTTCATTTTATTTTAGTGTATGTAATATCTAGTTTAGTTTTTGTCTGAGGTAACTAGAATATATATACAGTTGTACTCATCGTAATTCACCACGTGAAATGTGCTTATTATAACCGGATTCGAAGGATTTCAATTTCAGTCCTAACTAAAATTGTGTTATAAAGTTAGGCTGTGCATTACATTTTTCCATCTCTTTAATGATTAACATTTTCCTTTAGCATTTATATGTATTTAAACAGGTACATTTAGCTATGAAGGGCTACTTCTCTTTACAAGATTAATCCATGATATTTCAATCGCTAGAAAAATTAACGGTATTGAAAGTTGATTATGATTCCACTTATCCATTAAATCAACAATTATCAAATTGGATGAATCTTCCAAAAGTCCATATTTCTGGCAACTATCATACATCTGTTTTATTTTACGAGTTTCAACCAAATCAATAAAACATATTTTGCGGTAAGACGAGAGAATATGTCGTAAAATTAAATAAGCTATAAATAGACGTCACGAACTATGATCAATTGGCGGAATAAGTTTTAATGATCAGAACGGCGGCTCTTACATTTTTACGTCTAAGATTCCTGACAAATTATTACGCTTTTAATAGCATGCGACATTTTTCTATACATTTAATTGCAAGCCTGTTTCTCGAAAGAGGTAATATGATAGTTTTTATTGTTACATCAAAACAATTGCTTCTATTTAATTTAAGCTCCCCTGACAGCGCAATGTGTTAATAATGGCGGAAAACATAATGTTTTACTGAGGTTACATCAATGCTCGTGGCGTTGCAGACATTAACGTTTGATTGATTTCAGAGGGAAATTGTGATTTTGTCTCGCTCAAGATGTCAGTATCAGGCACAAGCTATACGGACACATATTCACCATGAATGTTCAATCTTTTATTGTGAAATAAACATTAAGCTGTAATAATGTGTTTAGACAAAATGTATGCACATGTAATATGTACACCATAGACTAATGTAGATAATGTTAATATAATTATGCTAATACATATAAATAGCACATTGTATAATGATTGCGCATACATAAACTGTTAAGTACATATATAATGTATATATAATCTGTCCTATATATTATATTTTTGTTAATTACATTTAAAACATTTCTGACTGCTCTATGCATATGACAAATAGTTTGAGACAAGTATTTTGTAGGTAAGGTACCCTTCTAGTAGTCTAGTGTTATCCACTTTGTTACAGTACATTAAGAGTCATTGCGCAAAACATTATTCTTCATGTCCTCTCCATTATTAAATAGTGTCTTCGAATATTTGTTTTTATCCATTATCTCATCATTATCTTTGCATTATTCATATCTTTTATTATTCATATTAATGCCTCATCATTGAAGACTAAATTGATATTCATCTGAGACAAACTTTTTAATTACATACTTTTATTAAAATAATTTTTATAAAAAGTTTTCCCTCAAGGTCATCAATTAATGAATTGTATCGGGTAAAATGCTAGGTGACATTTTTAAAATCACAATGACACACAGTATGAATTAGAATAATATATTTGAAAGATAGACTTGTATAAAAGTAATCCGGTATTATAATTTTATAAATTGATAAAGAAAATAGTTAACTGAGTTGATACTGCGTCTTCCTTTTGATCAGTATTTCATTAATATAACTGTACGGTTTATTAACATTATCTTTACAGATTCAAAGCGATGTTATCCTGCCTTATTATAAGTGTTCTTTCAACAATAGAGGAGTTTTCTGGGTACTCCAACCAGGTGCTCTATTGGCTGGTAGGTGATATGTGTTCTTTTGTTTATATGTATTGTATATTTGTAGTGATAACATAATCTTTTTTTACAGATTTATGATGGTTTTGATCTGCCTTATCAGTAGTGTACTCTCAACAATTGACGAGTATGAAGAGTTTACCAATCTATTTTGGATGGTATGTAACAAAGCCATTTCATATATTCCCTTCAACCTTCACATTGCACCTGCACACGTTTTGTTACCCGCTACCAAAAATTATATTGCATCGCGTTACGAGATGCAATCAAGTAATATCTTTAAATTATTTCTTTGATGATTTAATACATTAAATATAATTATCTAATCGATTCTGTAGTAGAGTTATTAATCTCTAAAAACGTTGTATTATAACCTTTTTTTCAAATAATGACAAAAAAGCTTTTTATTCAAGTTTACGTAGACGGTTTAGATAACCTATAAATTGCCATTACATTTTCTTTTTCATAACAAGCAGCATGTTTGAGTTCAGAATATAAAAAATAAATACGTATCTCTAATGCTTAACCTGCTGAATTTCATAAATTAAAAGTATTTTGTCCTGTTTCCATTTCTGGAGCTGCTAAACGTCGACGTAAAGGATAATTAAAATTAAAATTTAGAGTTCAACAGTATTTAGCTCGGTCGCATATCACGGAGGTGTAGGTTAGTCTGGCTCTATACTGGTGACAAAGTTTCATCATGTTTGATTCTGGCAGAATAAAGGTTAAATCTGATATGAAAATAAATTTATATTTTATATCCAAATCTGACGTGCATTTTATCATTCAATTTTGATTCATTAAATGCTTTGTTTAGTAAGATTGTTGTTTATCGTGTTGTATTTATTTGTATTTTATGAATCTTATATTTACAAAAGTAATAAAACGCTCAACAAAGAAATGACACCCATAAGGTGTTAACTGAAATAAAAGTCGACTGGCGGCGTGGCCGGGTTGTTAACGCTTCCAACTAGTAATCTAAGGATTGCTGGCAGCTTGGGTCAGGGCAAGCGTCGTTTCCATGAGTAAAGAACAGATTCGAGAGTGTTTCAATATGCTTATAGCTTCCAACACAATCAAACAAAATAATTAATATACACTAATTGAAATAAGAGCTGTTTATACAAGATATGTAGAATGCGACACTTCACGAGTCAACAACAACCCTATTCCAACATTATATCTATCGTTAACTTTAAAGTCCGGAATGTTTCAAAGTCCGTAATCATGTGATTTTTTCCTCATTTTTCATTTTGAACGTTTCATTCGATTGTAACGTTACAAAAAGACAAAATCTGAACATTGTTCAGATTTTTCACATAATTATATGAAGACACAGTGTGTTTGTATCCTAAACGGATTTTTATGTAACTTTTGATGTAACAAATTATATTAGCCGCGTCATGACAAAACCAGCGTAATGCGTTTGCGACCAGCATGGATCCAGACCAGCCTGCGCTTTCGCGCAGTCTGATCAGGATCCATGCTGTTCGCTATCAGTTTCTCTACTTGTAATAGAGTTCGTAAGCGAACAGCATGGATCCTGATCAGAATACGCGGATGCGCAGCCTGATCTGGATCCATGCTGGTCGCAAACGCATTATGTTGGTTTTGTCATGACGCGGCTCATATATTTATATGTAACATTTGAATGTGGTTTTCAATTGTTACCCTTTCATGCATATATGAAACGACGTGCTATTGCTCAATTCAGACTCACAATGTTTTTCTCTCTGAAAGTAGAATTACTTTCACGTCAATTGTAATTGTATACTAATGCCTTCGCCGCGACAAGGACATTTGTTATTGAATTTACCTCTTCCCTCGACTTTTTTTAGGTCCCCTGAACAAATTTTTGATAGATTGGATTTGACACTTTAAATGTGATAAGTCGCTTCCTTTAGTGCCTTTACCATTTGTTCTACATAAAAGCCTGCCTAAGTAGTAATTGAAAGTTGTGTTGCTAAGAATAAAGACTTTTCCACCGCTTATTGACCATCTATTTTTGTTCAACCTTTTAACATCTAAGTCTCCTTGTTGATCATTATTTATTTTCTGAATGTCATTAAATGTGAATGTTAGATGTTTTTGTTGGTTTTAGTTTTAATAAATTCGATTTCTGTTTATGTGAGATGTTTTTGTCTTTGAAATTGATCATTTAAACTAATTTGTTTCTATGATTGATACTTTAAAAGCCTTTTCTGTGTAGTTCAGGCCACTGAGTTTGATTCACTACTATTCGTTGCTGTAAGTTGTGACTTTGGATACTTTCATAAATGGCAGTAATGCAGCTGGTAAACATTTGATATGGGTCTCTCCATGTACCAACTCGTGCCTGAAATAATGCAGATCGGAACATCTTAAGTCTTCCTCTGAAATAGCGTTAGAATGTCTCTGCGTGACCTTTTCGGTATCGATGATCTAAAACTAAAATAAAAAGTATGGGATATTATCCAAATCCGTTTGAAAACGTCAAAGATAACCCGACTTGACAACATTAAATACAACATGGTAGTCTCGATTTTACTGAATCTGTTCATGGACAACAGTGAGCTGCCGTTAACGCCACTTAACGCCAGCTGAAGCAGAAATCAAGATATATAAATAAGGTCTTATTAAGCATCATTAAAAGCATCGATATATTTTATTTTGTTGATGATAATGATACCTTTAATACTACACATTCGAAAACTGTATAATTTGTCATATCCTATCATCCGCAAATATAACAATATGTAAAGCCTGTGTATTTATTTGCAGAATAGAATAAAATATTCCTTTTCTGACAAAGATTATCTTGATATTGTTTATCAGCTTCTTATGTTTAAAATGACAAACAAAATATATAGAATAGATATTTACAATTTTACATGATATGTGTTTAAAACAATAACAAAGACTGCCCCCGGAAAACTATTTTTTTTCATAAATTTTTAATATATTTTTGTTTTCATTGTCAAGCTGTTCAGTGTTACATAATGTTGAAGTTTTCCATTTATCATTTCCAAACCATTTAATACCAGACGTTCTTCTTCTTGGATTGTTCATAGATAATGTGTAACTAAGTATGTAAAATCCCAAAACGATAAATGCAAATTGAAAATATCTTTTGTTGGAATTGACTTCAAGGCAAAAGACCTGGCTTATATTAATGTACGAACCGCTCTTCAGACATCTACAGACATTCTGAAAGGAAATTTGTAATATAGTTTCCTCTCCTTATCAAGGGTTATAGACGAGAATATTGCTTGCTTGAAGTGCTTGTCAGAAAATAAAAACATGTTAGCGCCTACGAATGTAAATACTCAAAACATTCAAGCAATAAAGTTTTACCTACAAAACATTTGAGACCAACAGAGAAGAAAATATTACAATCAAGTTAAACGCATTCTTTTAAAAACTGTGGCCTAGTTTGTTTATTTGTCGTTTTTTTTTAATGTTTTTGTCGCACCAACTCAGTTTAGGTCATATGGCAACTTTCCAGCTTTACTGGTGGAGGAAGACCTCAGACGCCGCTCTGTACATTATGTCAGGCACAAACGGGTACCAGAGTTTAATCACCGATAATTCCGTTAGCTAGCTGGATAGATGTGGCCTAGAAACAAATGGTTTAGTATCATAGACAAAATTGGTTATGTAATCAAATAATCTGAGTTTACTGTTTTATATCGAAACTGATATCACATGTTTTGTCACTACAAGTATTTATGTTAGAACAGCCTAACACCTTGCCAAATTAGCCTTTTTTTATTAGTGTAATAACAATAAAATAATTAGTTTTTTTAAAGCTTGCCATTTTTTGCTATAGAGTATTGTTACTGCCAATGGGTAATTATATAGCATCCGTTTAAATAACACATGTAAAACGTACAAAAGGTTAGACATACCTTATTTATTACAAAATACATGTATTGTAACGCCGGATCAGTGCGGTTGTACCCATCGTAGGAATTTCTTACAGCCTTTTTAAAACCAAATTATTATACAAGAGAAAAACACTGACATGCTATTATACTATATTAATTTAATTTTAAATCAACTTTAGGAGATGGGGGGTACCACTGTTATCCTGTTAATAGTCATTTCTTTGTTAAACTATTTATATATACATATTACACCGAAAATATGATAATATGATAAAATATTAGAACAGTCTTGAAGTTAAGTAAAGAGAAAAATGAACAGCAGCGCTGTAGATAATCTGTAGTAATCCAGAAGTTATTAAAATGTAATCAATAGTTAAATTGCTTTTATTTATTGAAATCGTTATTTCTTCGGAAGGATAGAGTTTGATAACACGATTACTTTAACCAAAAATTTCTTGTCTGTTACAAAATATCTGATTGATGTTCAGAATATCAGCATTGATATTTTTAATTATTAGCTCCCGACAGAGATGCCTGTTGTTTTGATAATCTTCTGAACGATTATTTGCTACTCTTGATGATGATGATGATAATGATGATGATGATGATGCTGACGATAGTGATAATGATGGTGCTGATAATGGTGTTTTATCAAAACATAGTACATTGTACTTGTTCGCAATGCAGAAAATTCGATATGCCAAATATTCGTGATATCGTTATTGACATACAAGTATACGTTTTTTTATATTACAGGAGATCGTACTTGTCGTATTTTTCGGTGTAGAATATATTGTGCGTCTGTGGTCAGCCGGATGTCGGAGCAAATACATGGGCTTAAGAGGAAGAATACGATTTGCAACAAAACCCATTTCACTTATAGGTAAAATCATAACCAATTTAATCTATAAATAATAAGCAAATACCTTATATCACTTTTATACAAATTAAAAACTCATAACACTCGTATTTAAATACAAAACTCATTAGTTATCCGTGTTCGAACCCTATCCGGAGCATGCGCTGTTTCCTTGAGAAATAAATTTTTCTGTCATTGATTATTAGTACTGGCTCGATTCAGGAACGGTTTCGAGAGTGTGTCTATAACCAAATTGCTTCCTTCACAATCGAGTTACATGTAAGATAAATTAAGTATAAACAAATACTCGTCACATATTATTTATTTAGATCCCTTTTATAAGAACTCCATTGTTAAGTTTGAAAGGTATAAAGTTACATCTTATGAAATAATTTTATAAAATTTATCAACAGTAAAATTTAAGTGTTTCTGTGATCTTATGGTCGATTCGTGAAAGAATTGTAACATACAATGTATCTGTTATTTAACACAAATGAAAACTGTTCGTTTACAGAATAAAATGCTCAGTAACAACATGTGCTGTTATATCAAGAAGGTTTTAACCATTTAAGATATGACATATAGCATTATACACCTTTTCAGCTTATTAAAGCTGCATTTTATAAATATATATGTAAAAAATAATTTGCGGTCTGTTGAGGTTCGGATGACCCAAAGTTTGACATGTAAATAGGATAAGTACTTTCGATTTCGCCACAATAATGTTGCCGAATTTAACGTAAAATCCCATTTTGGTTGTCTGGACACCAAAATAAGAAAGGGAGTCGCTCTCTTATTATACAAATGTAGCTTTTTTCTGTTTTTATGAAATTTATAAAATACAGCTTTAAATGTAATAAGCATAAAAACACGGTATTAAGTGGAAATTAAATTATCAACAATATGCATGCATGAATGTCTCAATTATTTCTGTTTTATTTTTCTAGATTTTTCAGTAGTAGCTGCATCTATAGTTGTATTTACAATAGGCTCAGAAGGACAAGTTTTCGCAACATCAGCAATAAGGTATGTAACTACTAATGAATGAGGCAGTCTTAAACTTCTATAATTTTTTATCATAGCTTAAAACATAGTTATAAATAGTTTTGCTCGTGGATAGTTTGTGTAGTTGTCGGTTTTTGTTAACAGTAAAATAATGAAAAAGCCGGACAAACTTTGAACAATGTAGTTATAACATGAAACATGTACCACAAAATTGATATAATCATACTGAAGTCAAAATTGATAAAAAAATGTATCAGCTTAAAATATAAAAATATTCTTACTAGCTGAAATGGTAACAATTAATTAATTCAAATCGTAAGAGATTTCAATATAAGATAAAATTCGAGTCACAGCAGCCAACACTATAAAGTATGCTCAAACTGTAGAAAGTTGTATTTTTAATTTAACATCATGTATGACATAAATAAAGTACTGAGCTTGAGACAATGTTAGCAACACTTACATCTTATATACATTGTTAATGTTTTGTATTTGTATTTCAGCAGTTATCATGTTGTTCATATTTCAGAGGTGTACGATTTTTACAGATATTGCGCATGCTTCATGTGGACAGACAGGGCGGTACCTGGCGGCTTCTTGGATCTGTGATATATTTACATAGACAGGTATAATCCTATTATGATTATATTTCTTAATAGTCATTAAGACGCACAATAGAATGGCATGTTAGCATTTTTTCTCATACAGTCATGCAAACAAAGTATTTTCTGAGATAGATAAAGTATTTTCAAAAATAGACTTCTTGTGTTTTTCTACGTGCAACAAAGTCCTTAGACAGAGAGTAGTTTTACAATTCTTTTTCTATTTAGATTGCAAAACATTAAGATGTTAAACAAAGGCTGGGATCTTTTTTTAATATCTATATACATGTATTTATCATTGTATGCTTTATGAACATTCAGTTGAAATCGTTGAAGTGCCTTGTAAAGTACGACAAAAAGACTATTTTAAAAAATAGATAAAAACGGAATTCCTAAAGAACGCCAAAAACGACAAAATTGAATGTGTTGCACGCTCGGATTGATGGACGGTACTGAAAAGTGCAAGTTACCGTCCACGCCCGTTAAACCTTGTGTACAGGGCACGAGTGATATATTTAATGTATGACATTCAAATACGTAAATTTCGTCATGCCCTGAAATTCCCCTCATTTGCATAGTTCTTATTTAATCTAAATCTTCTAAATCTTGTTGGATTTTTTTCATATCAATATTGTAATATGACCCATAAAACAATAGCTTCTAAATTACGAATTACTTGTAAGAATATGTTATTTTGTGTGAACCTGTGCCTTTTTGTCTATTTTAGGAGCTTATCACGACGTTATATATAGGTTTTCTCGGCTTGATATTCTCATCATATTTTGTTTACCTTGCTGAGAGAGAACATAATTCTAAAGATTTTAAGAGCTATGCAGACGCGTTATGGTGGGGTGTGGTAAGTGCATTTTACAACAGTACAACAATAACGCCTACAACAGTACAACAATGACGCCTACAACAGTACAACAATGACGCGTATACCTAATACAATACAGTTCTAAGTATTTTGCATGTATATTTGATCTGCAAATGATCTAATATTTAGTATAACAACACATTCGTATGCTTCTTCTCCCTATTTATACATGTAATCGTGTGTAAAATATAAAAATGGCAACAGTTGTAAACAGTTTTAACTATTAACAGTTAGAAATAAGCCGCGTCACGACAAAACCAACATAGTGCGTTTGCGACCAGCATGGATCCAGACCAGCTTGCGCATCCGCGCAGTCTGATCAGGATACATGCTGTTCGCTTACCAATCCTATTACAAGTAGAGAAACTGATAGCGAACAGCATGGATCCTGATCAGACTGCGCGGATGCGCAGGCTGGTGTGGATCCATGCTGGTCGCAAACCCATTATGTTGGTTTTGTCATGACGCGGCTCTAATAAGAAATTAGTAAAGAATAGTCAATAAAGGAACATGCTCCAGTATCTCTCTACAAAATGCATTTTTTATGAAATATACTTTCTAAAAGACGAGGAACTTGAAAACTAATACCATTTTGATACTAATAGGTGAGATTTAACGATGCTAAGAGTGTGTTTAAAAATGGAAAGACACAAAATATAATCGATTTCTATCATCTGTGCCCAGAGTACATATTTAAAAAAACGTTTTAAGACATTCCTCAAAATAGCTGTTTTGTGTGTGTTTCATCATGTTTACATGTATTTTTCTATCATTTGTAATTTGCTATAAGTATGTATTTACTTAATTGCAATAAACGTTTGAATTGAATTATGCTTTCATAAATTTACGTAACACTCATAAAAATGACCAATTTTATAGACACGTGATACATATTTTAGATTGTTTATAATAATAACATTATCTTGCTCACATTTTATTTAGATCACTGTTATGACAATAGGATATGGTGACAAAGTGCCACAGACTTGGATGGGGAAAATTGTTGCTTCATGTTTCGCAGTATTTGCTATATCATTTTTCGCGCTACCAGCAGTAAGTTTCTTCTACTTACTACTTTTATACTAACACATTTTATTAATAAAGTATATACATTCATTTGTTTTGCGTTTATACCTTTTGATATCTTCTCAAATAAAAATCTGGAAAAAGTGTGATCCCTCTGAAGCATTAATAACAACAAAATAACATGAAAAATTGCAGACACGGTTTGAATGGGGGATTGTGAAAATGTGCAATATCCCTCAGGCCCCTCAAAGTCAATTTTGTAATTTTTTTTACACTGAACATTATCAATTCTTAGAATTTGAAATTGAAAATCCATAAATTTTAGTCACAGATCTACAAGGTAAGCATGAAGTTATACGGGCTTGGATGGCTGTAAACTTTATTACAGAAGAAAATTTAAATTCTTACGTTTGATAGAACTGATGACATTTGCTTTCTCTAAGACATATTTTTAAAGCAAAAGAAAGAGACTTCTCATAAGTGTCACTGTGTTTTTTTAGTCCGAAAAAGAAACATTCATAAAGTGGAAATTGTATTGCATTGTATATCAGTGTACAAAGTACCGAATCATCTTACATTTTGAATGTTATTCCTTTAATTAAGTTTAGCTGTCAGCTTCCTTTTAGACAAATGATGAATAAAAAATAATTCCATTTAAATTCTTCAGACCAAAATATTTTCAGAAATTTGACAAATCAATAAAAGTCATTCTAGGTATTAAGTTAGTGTAATTTAGACGTAACTGTCGAAATATATATTTATAGTTCTAAAAAAATCGAAAACTGTACATTAATTACACTGTTTTTATGATATTAACCTGGGAAAAGTAACACATGGGTTATATATAATAACAGAATATAATGTTTCGGATCAAATTGTGCCCATGACACATTTAGCAGATTAAAAATATGATTTTCGTATACACAAACAAATTCGAGGATTGTATCAATTACAGGTAATCCAATATAGCTTTATCCCCTTTTAATCTCATTTTCTGTTATATTTTAAATTGATATCATTTTTTATGTTATTTAAAGTTACACAACTGTTTTCAGGGTATTCTCGGATCTGGTTTTGCATTGAAAGTACAACAAAAACAGAGACAGAAACATTTTAACAGACAGATACCGGCTGCAGCCACTCTAATTCAGGTAAAAGAAAGCATGCTGAGATTAGACTAAGATAATACAACAAAAATGTCTATAAAATGATAAAGGCAGATTTATCATTTGTTTCTAATAACGAAGTTAAAAGTTTTCCTTGACTAATAATTATAACAAAGAACATAAGAATAACCATTATATTCATCATTGTTTTCGGGCATTCATTCATTGAAACAAATTCCCTTTAATTAATTGATTAATTATATGTCTGATATTGTTATGTATTTGCTGTCGATCTTTCCTATGTGCTGTAGCAAATACATAACATAACATAACATAACATATTCTTTATTTGGCATAAAATGACAATATACATTTATAGCCAATACAGTAAACAATCATGTAATGTAAGAACATGATATACAATATAAATACCTTAACGAATTTTAATGTTTTACAGAGAAAGTTCTTGTTGCTACAAAATTTGAATAAATTTAAGTTCCTGTTATCTTACAATGGAAGAACATCATTAATAATAATATAAAGACCTTGACAAAGTTGAAATGTTGTATTTGGTGCTACAAAACTTGAATAAATTTAAAATGCTTACTGTTGTCATTTCTTTCTTAAAATGGAAAATACAAAAATTTGACAAGATACTAACTGTTGTCAGTTTTTCTTAAGATGAAAAATACAAAAATAAATTTGACAACTGAATAAATTTAAGCTACTTATTGTTGTCAACTCTTTCTTTAAATGAGAAATACGAAAAATTTGACAAGTAAAGTAATAACTGTTGTCCATTTTTTTCATGTGAAAAATACAAAAAAATATATATGACAAAGTCAAAAATATACTAAATGTTGTCAGTTCTTTCTTTAAATGAAAAATACAAAAATTTTGACAGGTTATTCAACATTTGCGTATTTGTTGTAGACATTAGTTTTTCAAATTTATGAATTGATGGCCAACGACAATAGTATGGTTTTAAGTATTTACGACGTAAACTATAGTATTTGGGGCAAACTAGCAAAAAATGGAATTCATTTTCTATCACGTTTAAATTGCAATTCGTACATAGTCTGTTTTCTCGCGCTACGTTTTCGTATCGACCAGTTTCTATTGCTAGGTTATGGAATGACAATCTAAATTTTGTAAGTGATATTCGAAATTTGTTAATGTTAACTTTATTAAGATAGTCTTCAGTTTCGAGTGAACGTTTATAGATGCTGTATGACGATAGTCTACTAGAATTTCTTATATTGCTGTACCATTCTTGCTTGTAAATGTCCAATATTCTGTTCTTAATTTGTTGAAAATTGATTGTTATATGTTCTTGATTAATCCATATGTTCGACATTCCTATATCATTTAAAATCTGTTTAATTTGGCATGCCCAGTTGTTACCACCATAAGAAAGACCGTTTTCTGCATCAAATTTTAAGACATTATACATACGTTTAAGCAGACAGTCATTTTGTAAACTAATTAATTTTGTCCAATATTTTAACATTATAAATTTACGATGTATTCGCATTGGATGTCTACCGGTTTCGCCATAAAGACCATCCAGGTTTGTTGCTTTCTTAACACATAAGACTTTTCTGAGAAATTTACAATGGATCGTTTCTATATTTTTTCCTTCTTGATATCCATAAACTTCAGCACCATAGTTTAAAACTGAGCCTACCATACTATCAAAAAGTTTAAATTTGTCTCCAATAGATAATTCTAATTGATTAAACACTGTAAATAAATTATGCAATGAAAACGAAGCATTATCAATATTGTGCTAATTTCTTTTGAGTTCTATTCCAATGACCATTTTTAAATAAATTAATCCCAAGATATTTAAAAAAAATTACGTTTTCCAGAACTATGTCATTATATACGAAATTGTAACTTGTATGTCTGCCTTTTTCAAAAATCATAATTTTCGTTTTATTAGTATTAACTTTAAGTCCCCAAGTTTGACAATATACTTTTAAATCATTTAGCATAGATTGGAGTGCCATAGGAGTATGTGCAAATAAAACGGCGTCATCCGCGAAGAGCAGCAGAAATATTTTAGCGTCGTCGATTTTAAAAAGGTCCTCTATATTGGAATTTATATTTTCTACTATATCATTCACGAAGTATAAAAATAATAATGTGAAACTGGGGTCCCCTTGTTTTGCGCCAATATTTGAATCGAAAAAAGACGAGACTGTATTGTTAAATACTTGTCCATTTATTCTTCGAACATAAAAGTATGCCTAAGTCAATTTATTGTTGACACTCTTGCTCTATATACATCAGTTAATCAAGGTTGAACAAATGTTGTACGGATTATTTGCGTCAATTCTGGTCATAAATTACTTTCGTTGATAATTCTTATTAGTCCCTACTCGATCTCTTGATAAATCAGTCTTTATTTCAGAGCGTGAGCAAAGCATTTGCGTTAATTATCAAGTAATAAATCACCAATGAGGATAAAAACAGGATATTTTGCGTTATCTCCCCGAATTAGTCTATCGTTTTTTTCATTAGATTCCATTCCATTTATGGCAGAAAATGGGTTTCTTCATTGAACTTTAGAATAGCAGCAAAGAGATAAATGAACCTTGTACTTAATTATTAAGCTTTTTCGTGATTTTAAAACATCATTGTAATATAAACGTGTAATGGAGCGTGAACGCTAAGCTTATATTACTAAATTGAACCTTTATTGCGGAAAAATAGGATTCTACGTAAAGAAAATTAATGTAGATATGAATGAATTGTCTTGTCAAAACGCCGGTATGCCTCAAAATTGTTTTATGTTATAGTTCTATAAAAGTAACTTATTGATCTATATCTGATCTTTTCCAAACAGTGCCTATGGCGATGTCACGCGGCTGACCCAAACTCAAAGTCAGAGGCCACGTGGCGTATACATATACACGACACGAGTAATGATGAAACGGTATTGTCACGTGTCGCACGGCGAGCTAGCTTGACACTGAGAAAACGCCGTTTGTCAACGAGATTTGATGCCAGCTCAATGAACAGTCGTACAGCAAGAGACAGCGTGTCGTCTGTCAACTGTGATGACAAAATTGGTAAACTAGGAGATCTTTAGTTTTAGCTTCTGATATTTTTCTTCCTATAAAATGCTCAAATGTACTTAATTACCCGGGGTGTAAAATATAATTCAGTCGATGAAGTTAAATACTTCCTAAGTCTATGCTTAATAGTATATGACAAACGCCAGGCTGATAATGAAACCTACACGACATTTGTTTTCACAAATTAGAGTAATTATTACGGCTCATATATATTTAGTTTGTTATACTTAATAAATTCATAAGTGTTTTGAATGTGATATTTTTTTTCAGGAACTCCGCGACCAAATCGCCGAGACAGTTTCTGGAGTCACCGTCCCAGCATTATAGGTTTTAATTTTGGAGGTAAAGACAATGACAATGACTCTGACTTCGAAAATGAAGAGCCCGAAAAAGTTGTTGTGTAAGTAAAACAGTTGATAAATACAACGGTCACGTCTCATACGTAAACTCGTAGTTATTTTTAAGAAATAGTACGCTGTATTGAGGGTCTCATAGAATTATAGTTACCGATCAGTCAGCCCGCAAACATTTAACGAACCGAAGCCAAAGGTTGAGGTCCGTTTAATGTTTGGGGCGGACTGGAAGGTCACTTTTATGCTATACGGTCTAAAGTGTTGTGTGTTATTTCTAATATTAGTCCGCACTTTACTAAAACAAAATAGTAAAAGTTCAGAGAGAAATGAAATCATACTGTTTGAATAACAAAATTTTAGTAAAATGTACTTATTCTTTGCGCGTTGTGTAAAATATTCATTGCGGTTACACGCTGCTTAATGTTTAAGGTCCGACGAAAACGTTATAGAGCCCGCTAAGGCGGTTCCTACACATTTTGGTCGTACCGGTGACGTTATCTTGAATATTATATTATTTAAAGGCTTTCCGACACTTATAATAAAGAAGAAATATATTTATGTAAGATATAATATTTGTAATTAGTGGATGGGCGTCTTTGGTAGTTTTGTTTATGTGTCTCATTTTTTAATCGCTTTCTGTTCTGAACAATACTATATAAAAGAATGTTTTTTTTTCTCAAGTGGCTCATCGTTCATGAAATTATTCGTTGAAGGACATGGTATATCTACTGTAAGCTGTTAAAAGACGGTCATTGCCATATGAAATATGTATTAAAACCAATCACATTTGATCTGAAAAAAATGCTCATCAGTTATCTTCGTCTTTAAAGATTACAAGACAGGTGTCTTAAATAGATGATTTTAATCATGCCATATCAACTAATATTGATACACTTCAATCTGACACTGGGCACCATCATAAAAGCATTATATGTGTACATGTGCCAAATAAAATGCCTTCTGCGTACGAAAATATATTGATTGCATCAAATTATTTGGTTATGATTTTGGGTCACCATTCTATTAACATGTTCAGTTATGGGAAATATTTGAGCCAGTAAATACTGTTAATCTTCAAATGTCGTCCGATTTAGTTGGAGAAAATAATTTAAAAATGATTAATGCTTTTTTATCGCATTTTAATTTAGTTTTAATGTAGATAGGGATCATCTAAATCTCGTTAGAATTTAATATGTCATTGTTTTGCATCAATTCAATTCAACAAAATTACCACATTATATTCCTTCTGTCACGCTTGACATGTCTCTTTCAGTATATATGCTTTGTAAAATTTAGAATAGTTAATGCAAGTAATTTCGATGCGCTTAAATCTTCTCGTAATAAATATAATAATTTTCAAAATCTGATTTAGAAAAGGGAAGATGGATTGAAAAAAGTAACATAAATGCTTATTTAAAGGAGAAAACTTTTGTGAAAATGTTAAAAAGTGGAAGTGAAGAAGAATTTCAAAAGATGCTTCATTTGATATATGGTATTCCTTATTGTCAAAACTTTTTTTATTGAGTACTTCTAAACAATTTCAAAGAAGTTTTCTTTTCTATATTTATAGAATATTTTGATTTGGTGTCTTTATAATAATATTATCATCTATCCTGCATTCTTCTTCAGCTTAACTGAAGCTCACAAAACAGCGATAAGAGTTTTGAGAAAGATGAAATATTTTGTTGCAAGAAGAAAATTTCAGGTAAATTTACATTGTTTGAAAGTATTTACTAGATAAGAAAGAACTCATGAAGTTTGTTGCAAGAAAACAACTTATCCCATGCGACTTTGCAAAAGTGAAGATCAATAATATATTTCATTTAATAATAAAATAATGTAAAAAATGAAAACCAAATCACGTATATATAATCATAGCACATGCTTACGAAAGGCATTTAATGCCTTTTTATTGCTATTCGTTTAAATAATTTTCTCTATATTTTAAATTCCATTCAATTGTTTTCAAAGTAACTAAAATTCAAACGTACAACACGCGTTTTTGCACTGTCATGCAGTTATGATATGGTTATATTCGGAGGTCAGTGAAAATTGGCCAATACTTGGTAAATGTGCATCAGAATCAAAAAATAACTGGTCCAATGTATGTTCGTTTGTTTGGTTTTACGGCTCATCAACACAATTTACGTGATATGGCGCCGGAACAGTAAAGATGATTTTGGTTACCCTCTAGTGTAACAAACTTAAAGCAACGCCATGGGTCAAAACCAGATCACCTGTCGGAGCTAAGAGATCCATAGACTCATATAATTCGAACCCATTTCGCCGCCTCGCACGATCACACAGGGATAAATAGTGATAGTAATTCTGATGTCTAAACCCTTAAAAACAACCACTCAGCCACAAAGGGGACTTTTGTTCTGATGGCTAAGATATTTCATTTTTAATATAATTTCAAATTTCAGCAAGCACGGAAACCGTATGACGTCCGTGATGTAATTGAACAGTATTCACAAGGCCATCTTAATATGATGGTGAGAATTAAGGAGTTACAACGGCGGTAAGAATAAATGGATACTTGAATTACAAGTTATAAAGAAAGAAAAAAATAGCTTATAATTAAAGTATATATAATGTGGAAATCGATCATTCTGTCTTTCATTTTATGAGTTTTCTCATTACTCTGTGGTCACACGAACAGGTTATTACAAGAAAATATAACATGATTTATAGAAACAGCTTTTTCCTTATGAAAAGTTTTCAGTTAAAAAAATGCTCTACAATAACGGACGCATCAATTATTCGTTAACGGTTTTTAAAATAATTTTGTTTTTACTTGACTTATAAATATATTTTAATATTTGCAATACTTTAATGCGTTTTAAAACTCTGTCATACTCGTATTTTGTAATCATTTGAATCAGTGTAACCTCGGAGAATACAACGCTTATGTATTTTACAAAGGGTATGATTCATAAAATGGGAAACAAACTCATAACCTCCACTTATTAATTTGTTTTTATTATATAGAATTGACCAATCACTAGGGAAACCGGGAATTTTACATTCAAAAAATCACAAAGAAAGAGAGCGGCAAACTATAAGTGCACGAGTTATGAAAATAGAATGCCAGGTTTGTACAGTACCCTTGCTTTATTTTCCTTAAATCCCCTGTGCCAAGAAAGCAATATGTTTCACAATAATTAAGCACTTTTGTTTTATCTTACACATGAGTTAATACCAAAAATTATTGTGTATTTTTACTGAGATCGTGCGCACTTTCTTAATTTTTCCAGGATAAAAAGGAACACTCATGTAAATTATTATCGTTTGATTTATCAATGTATGAAACAATTTATATTTTAATATATCATAGGCAATTAAATCATTTTAGGTGAATAAAATGGACCAGAAGATAGATCAATGTTTGGTATTATTACATCAGTTGGTAAAGAAACGACAAATTATAAACCAAGATTCTCGAGAGGATGAAGTATGAGAATGACGAAATAATCGAATATTACACGGAAAGTTACTGTAAAACACGAAATAACGGGATCTTACACGGAAAGTAACTTTACAACACGAAATGACTAAATGTTACATGGAAAATTACTTTAAAACACGAAAAACGGGATATTACACGGAAAGTTACTTTTTAACACGAAATAATGAAATATTACACGGAAAGTTACTTTATAACACAAAGTAACGCAATAAAACACGGAAAATTACTTTATAACATGAAATGCGAGAAAGCAGAATTAAGGTGTAAACAAAATTTAAATATAGTAGTAGTGATGCTACAACGAGGAACAAGTATTAATGCTGATGTTGCATACGGTAAAGAACAGTGAAAATTTATATTATAAAATGGCATAGTGACAACTCGTATGAAAAACAAATGACACGAAAACGACGTAACAGTAATGTGTTAAAAGGAATGAAAACTTTAAACAATCATTAAGATTATGGTATAGTGCATATAAGATATGATATAAGTATAGTGAGGTTGACAAAGGCAGTTTGACATAACATTGAATGTTTTATACAATAATGAAACAATATCATGAAAATCCGAAATAAACTATGACTAATGGTGAACAATAAATGAGCCGCGTCACGACAAAAACCAACTAGTGCGTTTGCGACCAGCATCCGCGCAGTCTGATCAGGATCCATGCTGTTCGCTTACCAACTCTATTACAAGTAGAGAAACTGATAGCGAACAGCATGGATCCTGATCAGACTGCGCAGATGCGCAGGGTTGGTCTAGATCCATGCTGGTCGCAAACCCATTATGTTGGTTTTGTCATGGCGCGGCTCAAATTATGAAAATGGACACCAAACATTATTGTCTCTCTTTGAAGATGTGATAGAAAGATTTTAGAATGATTCGGTTTTCAGCACACAAAAAATGGCAATTGCCTTTAAGAGGGGCGTTCAGTTACTTGTGTCAATGGAACTATGAAAGGTGCTTTATTAAACGCAATGATAATTTTTCACTTTAAATTTCCAAAGTATCTCCTTTTACACAAAGTCATGTTCTGATCGTTACAGTCATTCTGTAAAGGCCTGTTTGGGCACACCCTGCAGAAAAAGGATATTAAAACTACTCAATGGACCACAAGAATCGTATCGACGTCTAGATAGTTTTTTTTTTCAAAGGAAACAATTACAAAATTACAGGAGCAAAGGTCTGGCGAATTAAAAGGATGTTGTAGCTTAACCAACCTTTCATTTTAAACGAAATCTTTAACGACTTCACACTTTCACAAATACACTTACATTATTACATTTACACTATCAGAACTAAATTATGTTGCTTAAAAGATTTTGCATACAATTTACGATAAGGGGCCTACAAGAAATACCTTGTTTCAAGCTTTTATTTACTTGCGCCATTTTACACACAGTATCCTAGCTAGTTTTTTGATCGGCATCTTTTTGGATTGTTTATAACTTAAGACCGATAAAATGGAAATTTACCAATTCTCTTGTCATTGTTTATCTGCTCTTTATGTGCTGTTTACGTGGCAACAAAATTAATTCCAAGCACAAGTTATAGAAGCGCATCAATTACATAAATGAATGCCTCAACTTTTTGTAAGCACGCCAGATGAAATTGAAATATCCAGAATGATAGGAAACGTTTAAAGCATTTTTTGTTAAAATTGCCTGTAAATTGTGATCGAGAGTGATTTGCTGTTTGCCGTTGGACAATACTTTCACACGATATGTTTAAATTGTGGATGAAGGAGGATCAAGTTGTGACTTTACGGACACTTTATGTCATCACCAGACAAAGTGCTGTAACGAGGACTACATGTGTCATTGTTTTTCATAAGTACATCTTAAAATTAATGTGCTTATAATCTTTTGACCACTTGATCTGTGATATCATGCTCAATACGAAATTATTTAATATTTTTGCACATCATCAATAAAATAAAAGTTCATGTACATAATCGTTGATGAGTATAATGTTGTGTTATCATAAAGAAATTTTAAATGATATTGTTTTGTCTGTACATTAACTTGTGAATTTGTGCCAGCAATTCTTGCTTTATCAGAGGCGCTATTATGTGGGGTGTTATAGCCGGGCGTATGGAGAAGATAACCGTCGCACTTCATGGAATATTGTTTACAGTTTGTATGGCCGAAAACGCAATACAATTTTGATGTCACTTTTTTCCGCGCCACATGAAAATTACGACACAAAGCAATCATATTCAATTCTAACAAAAGTTCTTTGCAAATGTAATAGTTAATAAAACTCTTAAACCTTATTTTCTAGTTAAAGTATGTGAAAACATGCACGTTATAAGTCACTTTACAAAAAATGCTTATTGCTGATTGGCAATCAATGAACACTAAATGGTTCACTGTGACATGATAAAAATTCACGGCTTGCTATTAAAATAAAGTTTATCAAAATAATAATGTAAATACGTATTTATCTAAGTGACGTATATTTGCCAAACAATTACATTTTGAAGCAATAATGGGGCCTTACCTAAGCAATTTGCCTTTCTAAAATCCGATTAATTAATGGATAAATTTTAGATGGTTAGGAAGGTGTATCTTTCATATATTTTATATATACATTGTCGGTATATTTTGTTGAAACTATCACATTATCTCTTGCTAAATTAAGTGACAATTAATTTTTAATATATAGTAGTAAAGTTTACGATACAAAGATGAAATTCAAAAGATTTCACCATTATATGCTGTCTTAAACTTTTGTAGATTCGTTGTAAAAATAAGACATAATTTTTATATCATTGTTTTCTATCAAAATGTTGTAAGTTATATTTGTTGATTGTTGTTGATTTCCATCCGAATGCATTGATCTCTATATCGGATTATATCTAGCACTAATAAAGATACAGATTTATATTTTTGTACTTCATTTTCGTATGAAATATATTCAATATCATTACAGTTACTGCATGTAGAATCTGGTCAAAATATGGATTACAATTATCACATGACACATTATCACATATAATTGATCAATAGTGTTCTGTATGTAATTTCTTGGGGTAATGTTTCTTTCAGCACAATATTATATTTCATTAAGTACACGGCCTACAAATGAATTCCAAACGATAAATATAAAGTCAAATACCTCTGTTGCTGATAAAAAGTATTATTGTTATTTTTCAAGAATGCATATACATACATGTATATACTCTGTATGTAAAGGATTCAAAAAGGTTGCTTTGCAATATTACTCGTACAGTCGTGTTTTCCAATGTTTCCAAGCTCTGAAATTTCTTGACATAATATCATATAAATAATACATAGGTTTGTGAGTAACAGTAAAAATATGATCTTGAGGAAAATATTACCGCCTCGTGTAACAGTACTGTATCTTTACGAGGGATGATATTTTTGCAGTTACAAACCTATGTGCTTCACTGGGACAATATTTCTATTTGTTATTTTTATTTTTCATATTTTTACTGTGAAAAAGTACTGTTATATATGTCTCAGTACAATGGTGTTAGTCACATGTTAGACAGTCATGGATTACTGAATATCTCCCATTGGCCAATGGGAAATTTACATTAGAAAAATAGTGAGGGGTAATTAAATAAATTTAAGCCGTGTCACGGCAAAACCAACATAATGCGCAGTCTGATCAGGATCCATGCTGTTCGCTTACAAACTCTATAACAAGTAGAGAAACTGATAGCGAACAGCATGGATCCTGATCAGACTGCGCGGATGCGCAGGCTGGTCTGGATCCATGCTGGTCGCAAACCCACTATGTTGGTTTTGTCGTGACGCGGCTCATTTGTCGAAGAAGCATCATATCCCGATTCAACTAGTTGTACCTTTTCTGGTATTAATTTTATCATAATAACAATTTTTAAATGTATCTAATCGTTCTATAAACACATGTACGTATGACTTGTTCAAATTCTTTTTATTATATAACCATTTTTTTCTCTTTTTTTTGTACATTTTGGCAAGAATCGTTGTAACATTTTATTTTGCAGAGAGATGTATTTTTGCAGATATTGTATACAATTACTGGTTTAATACAGAGAATGTTGACTATGAAAATAAAAATTAATACACGATACAGTGGTCTTTTTATATAATATTGTTTCCTGTTTGTGTTTTTTTTCTTTCCGGTACAAATAGTTAGTTTAAACATTAATTTTATTTTTAGCTGGCTTGTAGCTGACTAAAACCTTTTCAAGTTATTCTGAATCTTACCGGTATTGTAAAGATTTATAAAAAAACATTGTCTTTGACTTAATACGGCTCGAACCAAGGATCCCTCGGATGAGATGAATATTGTTTAACCAACAGTCCGCAATTTAGGTTACCCACCTATGTTTTAGCAACAATTTATGTTCTATAAACATCAATGTTTGTTTAAATACCACCCGCTGTTTAACATGTTTAAGTGTGACAATTGTTTTTCAATTTTAGTTCTTGTGTTTATTCTGTGCAGCGGAACGTGCTTGTGTTATGCACAACTAGGGATGATACTGATAATTCATGTGAAGTTTCGTCGAAATCTCAACGGCAGTTTGACCTGTGACAGCCTAACAAGATTTTTCTTTCTTACCTCTGGCGGCCATTTATGCAGCGAAGCTTCCGCCAGAATGACTACATGTATAAAAATATATAAAATCAATACTTATGCCAAATACTTACATTTCATCCAAAATTGTAGAATACAATATCTTCATGAATAAATAGACTCTAACTCAGTTATGACTCTCGGTACACAAATCATGAAGAAGTTCTCTTTTTTGTATTGTTAACAATGCCACATGTCTGTAGAATACATTTAATGATCGGATCGTTTTTAAGCAAATGTTGTTTATCAAAATGTGGTATCTAATTAAAGAGCGCTCTGACAACGGGGCTATTCAAAGTATTGTTGATAAGGATTAAAATTAAGTAGATCGGCTCATCATTATTCTAATTAGCTTCATTTAGGAGAGGGAAAAACTGCCTGTGTGCTGCTAATTATTTAAAAGTAATGGGAGTTTGAAAGCATTTTTTCGGTCGGAAACGGAAAAATTAATGCATTACAACATTTTATTAACAAGGACAAGAAAAACATTATTTTTTGTTTGAAATTTGATAGGAGATGCGATTTTTGGGACGATAACCGTAATATGATTAGTTATATACGGCAATTATACCTTTGTTGTACTTAGTTACGTATATTTACCAATGATCTATTTATAATTTTCATCCCGTGTGTAATTCCTTTTTAATTTTTCAGTATCACTTGATCACTGTATGTACCTATAAAGTACGATACACCATAAATTTATATTAAAACACCATTTTATTGAGTTACAGCATTTTGCTTCACATTTTTAACTCTTTATCCGAGGTCCAGACTCAAATATCTTACATTACCTTAATGGGTGTTCTTTTCAGCCATCTTGTCCTTTTTCAAGGTGAAAGTGACACAACTAACGAGAAGAAAGGGAGAATATGTTAACATAATTATGTTATCGCTGTTTGAAGGTCACACATTAAACGAAACTTGTGCTACACATGTTCTCAATCTTGGCTGAGATATTGCCGCTTATAGCTGATAAGCCTGTTATCTTTACACAGGTTTATATAGAAGAACATGGTACAAGTATTCTATGCCCTAAGCCAAGATGGCCGTGGCCTTTTGGAAAAAAAATTATGCATATAGAATTCTACTAGCTCTTTCGTAATCTCTTATGAACTAAGTCTTGAGCATTCCAACCGAGGTCAAAGCGCTTGTATCTTTTATTCTTGCATAACAACTGCGCACCCCTGTATATAAATATATAAATACATATATTCTCAGACGAAATCATGCGAAATCATGCGAGGTCGCGTCGTTAACGTTGTTGCATCAGGCTGCAATGACGACCCCGGTAATTTCAATATGTAAATATACTTTTCAAATCCTTGAAAAGCATGGTGAAAATTGTTTTTTATACGAAAAACCAATAAAATGTAGACTTTTCTAAACGGATGTATAATAGTAATTTCTTTTGCAAATGTAGCGCTAATGCACCTTTTTACGTGTATTAACATCTGCATAAACCCACCTCCTGATTTATATACGTCCTCTTACTTCTGCATATATATATAAATGCTCTATGCATTAACCCCTTTTGTTTTACAGCTAAGCAGATAAGTAGAAATATAGTGCGTATCAAAAATGGTATATAAAATCAATAAAATTTTGCATAAAATACTTCATAAAATATGATTTTTGACAACCTATAAATTACTATGACGCTTTAAGTGTTAGTCAATATGTTCTTAAGAACTAAGTTAACAATACAAAAGTTATGAAGAATAGATAAAATATTAATTCTTTATTTATAGTTTATAATCTTGATAATAATATTGTGCAGCACGGCCGGATGGAAAGCTAAATATTATATGTCAGGATATACAATAAATCTTCAAATTAATACTTAGTCTAGTTCTCATGTCATCTTTAGCTTTTGCTTAAATTAGACACTTAAACAGGAATTTGTATATACCGCAAGAGATAAGAACCTCTAAAAAGAAATTTATTGACGCCACCTTGTTTCTTATCGATTGTTCAATGACTTTTAGACAGACATTTTTTACGATATAAATGTATTCAATTTTTGTAACTTTGAATAATGACACTTAATTACAGAACGTTGACATTGACTACTTTTGTCTTATAAAGTATTAGTATTTAGTTTTGTGTGACTAAATTGCATTGTTTTTAGTTTTGGAGCGTTCTTTAAGGATTCTGTTTTTCTATCTAAATAAAATAAATTTCTTATATAAATGATTCTCCGACAATTAACAAAATGGAATATGATTTCCGTACATATACATGTACATACTGTTGAAAGATATATTTGAGCCGTGTCATGACACAACCACTATAGTTCATCTGCGACCAGTATGGATCGTGACCAGCTTGCGCATCCGCGCAGTCTGATCAGGATCCATGCTGTTCGCTATCAGTTACTCTACTTGTCATAGGGTTTGTAAGCGAACAGCATGGATCCTGATCAGACTGAGCGGATGCGCAGACTGGTCTGGATCCATGCTGGTCGCAAACCCATTATGATGGTTTTGTCGTGACGCGTCTCATATATATCTTACTATATCCAGAGCACATGTAGATTAGCGGCCATAAACATCCCCGAATGACCTACCGCACCAAAACCTACTTTATTGTTACAATTTAAAATGCAGAGAGGTTACTATAAGTATTATCACGCAAATACTTCAATTAATTTAGTACATTTTCACGATCACTTAATATTTGAACTTAACACATTTTTTATTGAATGTCAATACTCCAAAATTTAATGAAATATTTATATCTTTGAATGTCATTAATTGTATTTACATATAAAATTTCATCTATATCATATATAATATTACAATGTAATTAACTCATCACCAAAAGGACGGAGTTACAATTATCGTGGTAGAAAATGTCTGGAAAATTCATTACTATGTGCATATTTCAATCTCTATTTGGTATGTATTAATATAAATATATTTCTGTCCTGGTAATTTCATATTTTATTCAATTTTTTTAATTTTGACTTTAGGAAATAATTTGACTCGGTTAAGCGTCTGACATGTATTTCTTTACAATGAATAAATATGAAATAGCGTAACTAATTAAAACAGAAAAAAATATCTATTTGCCATGTTCAATTGATTTTTTACTAAGTCGTGTATTTACTTTTTTTCTTTGAACCATTCTCCACTTTTGTCATCAATATAGTTTTGCTCGGGAGACCTGAATTACATGTTTGTTGCCAAAAAAAATGCAAACATTTTAATATGTTTTTTTACAAAATAATTTGTAATATAAGCTATGGACTTAAAATTAATCACTATGCGTTAAAAAATTAAAATTTAAAATTACAGCTATACTTGCTTCGATCACCTCGAAAATGATATAATATTCATATTTAGTATTATTTTCTATCCTTATTAAAAAAAGAAACCGACAAAATTCAGTTAAAACTTGTATCAGATATTGATGAGCAAATAAAATGGAAAAAATGCACTGTCAACTTTTTGAAACTTTTTTATAACATAAAGCAAGTATATAGAATGTCGTTATAACTTTAATACTTAAGAGATGTGCATAAAATAAAACGTTTAACTTCAAGTGTTGATAAACACTTTTGTTATTTATGTAGTTCTGATTCGGATAATTGCCTGTTCTCTTTACTAGACTTATTAAAAATATCAATATTGTATAATATTATAATTGATAAATAATAATAATAATTGAAATAATAATAATTATTATTATAATGATAATTTTAAGTTATAACAAAAATGTACTTTAAACTCACTAATTTTAAAAGCTTTTTTGTAATCACCCAAGCAGCCACTACATTAAGCGTTACCACATCTGTTACTATTACGCCTGAAAGTACAAGTTCTGTGACTACATCTGAGGAAACAACTTCCGCTACACATGAAACGTCCAGTGCTGGTGGTATTTCGGACTTAACATCTGTTACAACGATTTTTATTTCTTCTGAGGAGATGAGTACTACATCATCTGAACTGGAATCTACAAGTGTGACGTCTCTATCAACAACTGGTCTATCAACTTCCACATCACATCAGCCGACAACTGTAACAGCAAGCACAACTGTAGACTCAACAACAGGACAGACGGTAACGAGTACAGCAATAAGTGCAGCATCCACTTCTACAGAAGCAGAAACAACTACTACAGATATATCTACACAGTCACATACTACAATAACTGAAGCTTTAACCTCTGAAGTCACCAGTTTTGCTCCAACTGGTGATTCTTCAGTATCAACAACAAGCATAGTTTCATCTACAGTTCAGTCAACATTGAAAGAATCCCCAGGGACGAGTCTCTCCTCTATATTACAGTCACTATCGACCACCAAACTGACAACCTCAGAAATTACAAGCAGTTCGAGCATACAAGATACTCCTACCAACAACCCAGGTAAAACGAGAGATACATTTGTACGAATTTACTTTTAACAAAATATGCCAAAAATAATACGACCATTGTTTTGTTAAATGGTATGAAATGACATTTTAAAGTAGCATTCACATTTAGATAGATATCGTTTGAGACGGATGGGTCTTTTGTTATTAAACTTTGAAACTTAAAACTTGTTCAGTATCAAAATCAGACATGGTTTCTTCTACAGACCAGTCAAGCACAACCGGATCTTCAGGCACAATTTTTTCTTCTACAACACAATCAACATCGTCAACCAGTATGGCAATCTCGTCAGAAAGCAGCAGCAGTGCGGCGGACACGTCCAGTATAGCCAGTACTACGAATACACAAGTTACCGCTACCAATGACCCAGGTATATTATATTATTTTTGTTTGGATTGGTATTACTTATAAAAACTTTTGTGGTGTTTTCCTTGAGCAATTATACCAATTATCTTTTTCTTAATTATTATGTATATAATGGGTTACAATTTAGTAAAATATGTAAGATTTATTTATCTTAAATATTGAAAGGAATCATATTTTGAGTTTGCTTGTTTGTTTATCTAAAATACTTTAAGAAATCATTTTCTGTCTACAAGCCATCATTCATAATGACGATTACTATTTAACTAAAATTATCTTATTTCACTGAAAAATGATCTAAGAGACATGTACAACGTTAGAATGATTTATTCGATAATTATAAATCTATTAAAACATATCTTTTTTGAGGCTTAATCTTCTAATTGTCAGGTTAACAATGTTTGACATTCATATTCTCTTATTTTGTTTTAAACTATTGTATTTCACTTTTTTCTTTTCCAGGAAATTCATCTCCGAAGATGTATCAATTTCTGTGGTTATTTATCGCTACCATCTCGGCGGGTTTCTTTTTGTTTTAATGAAGACTTCGCACACCTTTTTCGTTTTGTTTGCTTCTCTTTACTGCTTCCGTTTTCTATCTAAGTAATTATTGCTGATGATATTACAACAGCGTTCACGAAATACCCACGAAAAATACAGAACAGAAAAAAAGACATAGTTACTAATATATTGTTTCTGAGCGTATGTCCTTCTGTCCTTCTATTACAACATTCTTGTCACATCTATTTTGTTATTAAAAAAATTATATAAACAGTTACTCGTCGTCGTTGTTTTCTTTCGTATAAAAATATACATACATTGTGTTGGCTTTTCTTAAGGTCTCCGTTGTTTGTTCGATAATTTTTCATTGAAACAAAAAAGATTATCTTCATTTCTTGAAAACAAAAAACTTACATTAAAGAAGGAATCTTGGTTAAGTATATGATTTGTTGACAAATATGATTATTTCAACAAGACTTAAAAATGTGATTAATGGCAAAAGAAATAGCAAAATTAAATTTATGTTTTAAATCAATGAACATTTTTTCTTGACATATAAATAAAAGAAATGCAAAAATCATGAATATATATTAACTATAAGCATGCTATATGGGGCAAGATAGATTCTTTATCGTTAGGTTTATTTGCCGTTGCGATATTCTTCTTTTATTCGGGCTAGAAGTTTTGGATCTTGTAAGATGTCAATAGCAGTGGCTGCAATGGCTTTCGCAACAGCAATGGTATATTTCTGGGCCACTTGGTCACCTGCAATAAATGTATTTTGCTTTATGAGAATGTTTAGGTCGAACGCATATGTTTTCTTTTAAATAATTATCATTTACTTGAAAAATGTTTGCAATATTATCTTCACAGAAAGTAAAACCATAGCTTGGTAGAAAATTTCACTAATTAATCAATTGATCAAAAGTTTACGATTTTTTAAGTTTTTTTGGTGAGAAAGGAAAAGGTTAGAAAATATAAATAGAAGGTACATTTGTACATCCAAAGATCGTAAAATGTGACGCCTCATTACCTGATGCCGCTGTGAATCCTTTCGTATGATTAACTGCATCAGTCCCAATGTAAAACATGGGATGTATACTCGGCGTTTCATATGACACATTTCCCATATCTGTGGATCCCGTTGGAGCATTTCCATCAAAATGTGCGACACCGTGTTTGTCGAAGTCTATGCCTAGTTGTGTACCATTCTTATAATACAAATCACTCATTGTTTTGTTATTCTTCATGTCGTAGTAAGGTCTACCCGACCAGCTAATTTCTACCTAGAAATATATATGAACCAGCAATTAGACTGCAAAAACGTCTAATCTCTAACAAAGGTTTATACTGTAAGCTACTCACTTTGGTACTTGATTCTGACACTTATATAACCGATATAGAAATAAAAAATAATTGAAATTTAAATGTGAACATACTACATGATATCCATAGCAAATTGCTGACAAAGAAATCACATGAAAAAAATAGTATACGCTACATCCTGTTAGAATAGATGATGGATTGAAACTAATCGATCCATACACTACTGATCACAACAGCTTAAAGATGACATTTTACGTTTAGCAAAATTGCCTCACCAACAACTTCAAAGCAATAAATAAAACGTTTACACAAATTTAGCTCAGTTAAGTGTTTTATATTAGAGTTACTCAACTGTACATCCTGTGGCCGCTGCTGCGCTCTCGAAACATTTATCTACCTTTTCCATCAATACAGTGAGTTCGGATTTAGTGGGTGTTCTTGCGTAAAACTCTAATTCTGTGAGGTCGGGTATAATGTTCGGTTTTGATCCCCCATTTTTGATTACACCTGTAATAAGGCCGTACTTATCAAGCATAAGATAGCACGGGTAACAAGATGAAAGATAGTAAGAAAATGGCGATAAGGATATTAACTTTTTATCAAATTGTAACATGACCATAATAAATGAGTCATTAACGTTGCGTGAATCGTTAACAATTAATTCTAAACAGACTTTAAAGATTTCAAACTCTAACTTTTTTTATAGTAAGAGTATTAACGATGTAGATGTAGCTGACTGGTAAATAAATTATTAACTATCTTAATATATGAATATTTCTTATTGCTTTCTCGTCGTTCGATCTACATAGACTGATTTCCTAATACATTTGTATTAACTTACCAGGAATTGCCTGCTTCTCCGCAAGTAACCGACTACATTTTAAATATTGTACGTGATTTCTGAATCATGAGAGACAAATAACCATTCGACTCAATGTTCGAGATCAATGGTCATGCCCGATCTTGGGCTTGATGTATTTTTTCTGTGAACATTAATCTCGTTGACTTTTGACTGTTATGGCCATTTGGCTCACCGCCAAATTCATTTGGGAGTAGTAGTCGATTACTTGTAGAGAAACTCGTTACTAATGGTGTGTTATCTAGTCAGGTGGCGACCCCTGGATTACTAATCCGACGCTCTCCTTATTTGGAAAAGCGGATGGGCAGGACACCTTATCAATTTTAAGCTGTAAGATGATGTATGATTTTCTCTGTAAGCTATATTAGATACTTGGGACGACACCAAACAAACAAAAAAGGATGTGACAAATATATCAAACCATTTTTCAAAACTTTCCATGCAGAAAAGAGGATGTATATAATTTTACAAACCATGAACTCGCCATGTTGGTTTAAACTGCTGTCTTAGACAAGAGACATTCTGATAACATAACACGGCTGCGTCAAGAGCGTTGACACCGTTCCAAGGGAAAGCACTCGCATGGGCTGATTGTCCATGATACTTGACAGTAACCCTCAAATACAAATATCATTATTAAACTTCTCCTTTATCATATTTACAAGACCACGATCAGTGTTAATTTCAATATCGCTTTTATAGTAAACAAAGTTATTATTTCCTTAATTGATATAATTAGATTTATCTATCGTATTGTTTTCAGTTTATTACTTTTTGATAGGCATACCGTTTTCTTTTTCTCAAGAAGTAACTTTTCATTAATAGGTTTGATTTTGTTGTGTGTATTGCTTCCGAGGGATTACATTTTTTCCGGAATTACGCTACACAACAGTGCTGTGTGGCAGCTCTAAAATGTTGCCCTCTACTTCCCTTTAGTAATGTTATATTTTAGGGATCATTAATTTCAACACGTTGGAATTAATGTTGCGAGTTATGCTTCCGAGGGATCACACTTTGTCAATACATGTATAAATGCCATGAATTCTATAATTATGGACACCCTTTATCTCTCGAGTTTTTGCGCTGAATAAAAAAAAGGAAAATAAAAACGCACTGTTCAATAGCCAGGGAATGAAATGCTGCAAGATTGAACGGTGATGGGTGTGCCATCATTGCTATATCAACGTCCTTGAAGACTCCAGCTTTTATCATATCAATTTTTCCACCGCCACCTTCTTCTGCGGGTGTACCGAGTATAGTAAGCTGAAAATATTTATATCGTATTAAAGAACCATTATTTCCACAAGGACACAAGTTGAATTTTTCACTGCAATGGTATAACAGCTAATTAGATATGCATGTAATATTATAATGGATGTGGGTCGATCAAAACATGTCAATCAAAATACGCAGTTTTAATCATGATCGTCATATTATTTCTTTTTCTTTTAAACTTGTTATAAAATTACGTTTAAATTCTCATCGTAATACGATCATTAATATCGATGTGATTTTCATTTCAATCAAAGTAAGCCGCACTTAACTTCAACAAAACATATTTGTCCTCTTAAATTTCATGTAGCATATTTGCTCTTTGAAGTTAGTGTACATCATTATGAAGGAATCGTTGATCTAATTACCTTTCCGAGGGGTTTCTCGCTGTTTCCTAGAGCAGCTCTAATACCGATACCAGAAGCCAAGCCGACCTCTGCGATCAAGTTATGTCCGCAAGCATGTCCGATCAGAGGCAGAGCGTCGTATTCACATATAACAACGATATGTGGACCGTCTGAGTTCTCGCCAAATGTCGATCTACACAAGGACAAGATATAAAAGGAAGAATATAATTTCTCAGGAAACTCTACAGTCTTACAATTTATAACCCTGTCGGTAATACTTACAACACTTTTGCGCTTACTGCGTTGGTAAAAACACGAAATATATTATAATTACATAATAGCTAGTTGAATGTCATGTTAGTATTCAGTATAAATACCATTGTGATATAAATATTAAGTTAAATAGGTTACAATCTTATACATGTAGTTACAATGACACTATGCTAATTTTCAGCTGTCACTAAGTTAGTTATGCATTTTAATAGTTACATATGTATACAGATATTGGTTTATAGATTATAGTAAAACATAATCAAATTATATTGATTAAAAAGGACTGCCATTGTTTTTAATCCAATGTAAGTTCAAAAGTTCGGAGAACAATGAGAAATTTTCGCAAGAACTAAGAATGCGATGTAGGAAAATTAAATAGGAAAAAAATATGTCGGAACGTATTTTATTTTTAATTAACCTGTACATTCAATGTCTTTACTGTATACGTAACTTTAAAGGTATAGTAATTGAAAGCAGGTGAAATTATCTCTTTTTTATTTAAATATTTATTATAAACAAAAGATTAAAGATGATGATTAATACTGAAAAATAGAAATTCAAGAATAAAACAATTTTCTTGAAGTGACCATCTTCTTTACTTTATGTTGTAGTATACGGACGCCGGCATGAGAAAATAAACGTTAACGTCATTCAAAATCTGACGTTAAAAGACGGTAACGTGGTCTTCGAGGACAACGTTGTGTGTTTAACATTTATTCTGTAATTACAAAGAAAATTAATGACAAAATGCATGAAATGAAACGAAAATGAAAACGATTTACCTGAAACCTGTCTTTGTGATGTAATTTCGTTCAACTTGAAACCCTTTCTCCTCCAGGAAAGCTGTGATATTAGCGTGTGCTTTTACCTCCTCGAAATTCTCCTCCGGGTTTTCCCATATATCTTTACTTATTTTGTCTAGATCTGTAGCAATTTCGTCTATTGCATCGTATGCTTTTTGCTTTAAGTCCGTCATTTTTGGTTGTCATACACTGTTAATAGAGGCTTCCTTTAATAGAAAATGAAATGTTGTAGCCTCTACTATGCATATACTCTGCAATACTCGGGTAATTACGTGATCTTGCATTTATACAGATACTCTGTATGGATGAACATTCACGTTTGACCTACTAAAGTTATGAACATTAAATTATGTAATCAGTCATGATGTTTATAGCCTTCCTTTATGTTTTGAAATACATTAAACTTCTACTCTTCGAGTTCTATACTATAGTGACTATTTGATGACATGTTGATCACGATATTCCTACAATAACTTTAGTATCATTAATTATACGAAAGTCCTAAACATGTTTAATCATTGATTAAATAGGATTGTATAACTAATTATCAAAATTTTCTAAACCACTTCATTTCAGTTGAATACTGTGCTCCTAAGATAACTATTTAGCATTTTATTTGTGCAAATTAGTCATGTTATTGATTTGTTTTTGTTGTTTTTTTCCTAAAGAAAACGCATATAGAATATTAACAGAAACGCGTGCTCTACCTTGATGCACATAGATTTTGAACTATTATTCGATTTTACATTTATGCCACTGAATTCCAGTATTCATACTTATTTTCATTTTCATATGTTCATGTACTATAATATAAAAATATGTATATTTAGGTGACAAGTAGATCACCTCGTGATCAATTTTACCATTTAAAGATATTTATTTCAAAAACCAAACCAGTTGAAATGCACATTGAAATACATGAAAGTAATATATATCAAATAACAACTATACCTTGCAAATGATATGTAGAACTGTTATAATTAAAAGTAACCGTCCATCTATTTATTATCCTATATCACCCAAATAATGTTCACTAATTTATAATCCTACTCGGCCTAGGTAAACAAAGTCGAGATTTATCTCTACATATAGAACACATGTCACTGGTAGTTAATATGTTGTAATGAGAAATAATATCTTTATCAATACGACTGTAACATCAAAGTTTTAAATTTAGGTTTAAACATAAAGTTCAAGGTCTAGTGTTTAGAAGGTTTGTAGCCTATTTTTAAACACTATCGTGTTTGATTCCTCAAAATTACTCTGTACTGGTGACATTCGAGAAACAAACTGTGCTTCAAACTACAGGCTTCGGGTTGAAAGGCAGACGACAACTACTAACCCACCGCTCAAATTTATAGACAAAGAAATAATATAGCATTTCATACGAGCAATTTGAAATAATTTGCATGTACAAAAATAATACAATTTATGCTATATACAAATACAATATACTTTTACATTCTTAGTATCGATGTTATATAGTATATTCAATAAGTTCATGAAAATATTAAATGAATTCAGTAAACCTCAATGTTTACAAATAAAAACGTGTATACACATGTACCTGCATGCAAATGAAACTTCAGTAAAAACACATATATATGAGAGTGTATCGAATAAATTTAAACATGGTACAAAATTATGTGAATTGCATTTAATCTTAGTATAAAATGAGAGTATAAAACCACCGTTTCCTTTTATTTATACTATCTATTAAATATGACAGTAAACTAGAAAACAGCACAGTTTAAACATACAAATCAAAATCTTACCGATGTTATCTCTCAAACTTTTTGAAGGGACGTAACTTGATTTCTTATATGTTGCACAAAAACAAGAGTTGCTTCCAATGCTACATGTTTGCGTAAATTGATATTTAAGATTATAGATTATACATTTTACGATATTAAATATTTCTACATTTAAATATCTTTTGATGTGGGACCAGTTAAATAATCATGACAAGAGGCACTATTTTCAATTTCGGCACCGGTGACATATATCCAAACAAATGTTCCCAATATTCTGTAAGTATATCCTTGAAATGTTATTATCTTTGAAATTAATTTAATAATTAATATCAAAGTTTAATCATTCAAGATTAAACTCTTTTATTTTACATGAATGACACATGTCTTAATCTATCGACCAGTTGTACTGCGTATCAATACGCATGCTCAGTCTGAAAGCTATATTTAGAACACTATATATAAGGAGCTGCGCGAGCCCGCTGCTTCCTTTTCGTTCTGGAACTCTATGAGAAAGGTAGCTGCTGATCATATTTTTAAATTTTTTGTTTTAAAATCTTAATCTAGGTTTTTAATTTTGGATGTAAATTGTAAAACTTTAATTATAATTTAAACCTTAACTA